AAGGTGGTAGAGACAGTAGCCTTGAGCAGAAAAGCTCGGTACAGCACTCAGGCTCTAAGTTCAAGCACCATGACTTGCAAAAAAAAAAAAAAAAAAAGGCTAGTGCTCTACCACTTGAGTCACAGCTCCACTGCCAGCTTTTATTTTTATTTTTATTATTTTCTTGTAAAGATGCTATACAGAGAGGTTACAATTACACCAGTAAGGTAATGAGTACATTTCTTGTAAACTGCCAGCTTTTGATGATTAATTAAAGATTCTCATGGACTTTCCTGTCAGATCTGGCTTTATGAACCATTATCATCACATCTCAGCCTCCTGCGTAGCTATGATTATAGTCATGAGCCCTGGCACCCAGCTAATGGAAGAGTTTTTAAAAATCCAAAAGAAAAGATTAATTCCCCTAATTTCTTTTCTCTTTCTTTCCTTCCTTCCTTCCTTCCTTCCTTCCTTCCTTCCTTCCTTCCTTCCTTCCTTCCTTCCTTCCTTCCTTCCTTCCTTCCCTTCCTTCCCTTCCTTCCCTTCCTTCCCTTCCTTCCTTTCTCTTTTTTTCCACAGTCGTGGGGCTTGAACTCTGGGCCTGGGCATTGTCCCTCAGATCTTCAGCCCAAGGCTAGTGCTCTACCACTTGAGCCACAGTGCCAATTCAAGTTTTCTGAGTGGTTTATTGTAGATAAGAGTCTCATGGACTTTCCTGCCCCAGCTGGCTTTGAGCCGTGATCCTTAGATCTTAGTCTCCTGAGTAGCTAGGATTACAGGCATGAGCCACCAGTGCCTGGTTAATTCCCCTAATTTCTGGAGTAGGAAGCCAGAAATTGCTACCATCTTGAAGCTAAAGGACAAATCTGAAGGAAGATTGTTTCTGGAGCTCAGGGACTGGGGTCACTGGTCCATACTGGAATTCTAGTAGGTACTTTCGGGGGAACAAAGCTACAAAGATGATGCAACAGGTCTTGTGAATGAGATAGAGGTCCCACCTTCCAATTTCTTGTCAGTGCCTCTCAATGAGTAAATCTTACCGACAATTGAGTTGTCATAGGACCCTAGTGAGTACAGTTTGAAAGAGTCAGCCCTCCTGTATTATAGAGCAGAACAGAGGAAGGAATAAATACAAGAGTAAAGACAAAAACTGACACAGAAATAAACTTTTTCATTCTTAAAATCAACTTTATTGGTGCATAATTTATAATTTATATACAGTATGCTTTGTGTGTGTTTATGTGTGTGTGTGTTGGTACTGGGGCTTATACTCAGGCCTTCAGCTCTCAATGATATTTTTCACTTAGACTGGTACTCTATTAGTTGAGTCACAATTCCACTTTTGGCTTTTTTTTTGCTGGTTAATTGGAAATAAGTGTTTTTCAAATTTGTCTGCCTGGCTCACTTTGAACCTTGATCTCATTATCCTGAGTAACTAGGATTATAGGTGTGAGCTACTGGTGCACATTTTACAGTATACTTACTTTAAATCTGTACTGTAAATATATATTTTTAAAAAACATACATTGATAATACAAAGGAATTTCATTGTGATAATTTCATAGATGCCTATGGTGTATTTTGAACAAGTAAGTTCACCCCTCTCTCACTGTTGGTTAGTTTTTCCTTGTCTTTTGTTGGTTTTGATGTTTCAAAGGTCTTGCTATACTGGCATTAAACTAGTATGCAGTCCAGGCAGATCGTGAATTTGTGATCCTTCTTTCACCTCCTGAATGCTGTTATTACAGATATTTACCACTATCCCCAGCTCGCTGCCTAATTTTTAGATATAGATCCTTTTGTCTTATTTCCTTTTTGAACAGCAGGTTTTTGAGATTCATCAATGTGTTTTATATCACATAGTTCATTTATTTTTAGTGCTACAGAATCCATTGTATGAATATAGTAAAATGTATCCATTTATTTCCTGGGCATCTCTGTTATTTCCAGATAGGAATAAAACTTTTGTGAGCATTTATATATAATTTTTGTGTGTATTGAATATTGTTTTATTACTCATTGGTAAGTATCTGAAACAGTAAGTATCTGAATTAGTGAATCATATAAACAAACTCAAAAGTTCTTGTTGGGCTGGGAATGTGGCTCAGTGGTACAGTGCTTGCCTAGCATTCATGAAGCCCTAGGTTTGATTCCACAGTACCACATACACAGAAAAAGCCGGACATGGTGCTGTGGCTCAAGGGGTAGACTGCTAGCCTTGAGGAAAAAAAAGTCAGGGATAGTGCTCAGGCCCTGAGTTCAAGCCCCAGGACTGACAAAAAAAAAAGTTCTTGGTAAGCTTATAAATATTATCATGAATGTCTGTGAAAGGGAATTGTGTATTTCTTCAGAGGGCTAAGAGTTAGAAGGGGAGGTTTTAATCTCCAAAAAAAAAATCTGAAAAACATTAAATCTCCTTGAGATACATTATGCATTTTGTTGCTCAGTACTTTTTTTTTTTAATAATAGGAATGTCTAGAGAGTTTGTAAGAGGGAAAAGAAAACCAATTGTGTAAAATAATGAGAGACTTTTTGGTGTTTTGTTTTGTTTTGTTTTTTGTTCTGTCCTGGGGCTTGAACTCAGGCCTGGGCACTGTCCCTGAGCTCTTTCCCTCAAGGCTAGCATTCTACCATTTTGAGCCACAGCTCCACTCATAGACTTTCCTGCCTGGCTGGCTTTGAACCGCAATCCTCAGATCTCAGCTTCCTAAGTAGCTAGGAGTACAGGCATGAGCCACCAGTGCCCTACTAGAGACTTCTTGACAATGGCAAAATCATCCTACACAGCTACTCTGAGATCACAGCACTACTGTCAGCAACCTGGCAAAGCTACTTTGTTAAATGGATGCAGTAGGATCCGCATTGGTCTTTGTGAAGGAATATCTTTATGAATATAAGCAAACACGCCTCTCATTTATAGTAATATACAGGTGTGGGCTTTTTCTTTTACTCTTAGAAGTAATGTTTCACCAACATACATCACTTTCCTTTGATATGTGGGTTGAGTCATAAATTAATGTCACAAATAAATGTCATGTAAATGAGGAACGCAACCACATTATGAAGTAGGAAGGTGTAGCTTGATATGAATTGTTAAAGCTGACAGCTATGTACTCTTGAACTAAATGTCATCATGTCAAATTCTGAGATATTAACAGTTGCTGGAATTTAAAACTGTGGACATTTAGGTTTGTAGCCTAAAAACGTTGTCAGTCTTCTACATTTTCTAAAATGGAAATGAACAGGTGGATTGAAAACAGAGAAGTGAGTTTAAAGATGCTTGGCATAGAGAAATTGCTTTATACTGAGTAGCATTTTAAAATACATAAATACATTTAGTATGTCTGGAAACAGACTTATTGGGTCTTTCCATTTTACCTTGTGGGAAAAATAGTTTTAGAAAACTCAAGTGCATTACTCACTATATATTTTCTATCATGTATTATTTAATCTCAAGCTAGGAGAGAGCATGGAACTCTAATTTACATGATGCCATAATGTACATTAGTAAATTCAACCCACTTAATCTTAAAATAACAGTATCAGGTCAGGGATTTAGAAAACTACAATATGAAAACAGTTGGCGTGGAGACTCCTTTGCCATGAATAACTACCTGCAAGTGCATTTTCAGATCCTAAATCCAACTGAAACCCAGAAACAATAAATGGAATGGGGTGATACTTTGTGGGAACATATTTTTCAAAGCAGACAAAGAATCACTGTTTTCGGAATTACATATTGCTATGGACATGGCAGTATTCAGTAATGATGCTATCATCCAAATGGCTGTATAACACTACAACTTCTTCCTTTCCACTCTAAGCAAGAGTTAATAATAGATGTGTATATCAATTGGTAAAAAAATTAGAATCAAAGTCCTTTCATTTCCAACATAGGAAAGAAGGGACACAGGAGGTTATGAAAAGAAGAGCAAAGAAAATACAGGAAAAAAATACAGACTCTACTATGTAATAAAGTCAGACATGCATCATACATATAAATTAAAAATAATGTCTTAGTATGGTGGAAAACTACTAATGGGTGAAATGCATGGAATCTCTTCATGGACCAAGTCCAATTTGTGCTCCTCATGGACCAGGTCCAATTCGTGCTGTATCACTTGCCTATGACCTTGAGCAAAGTCATTGTGTTTAAAGCTTGGTTTCCTCATCTGTTAAAAAATCATAATGGTAATAGCTTCTACCTCAAGAGACTGAGGTAAGGATTAAAGGATTGAAAACAATTTGTCAGCTACAAAGCCCTATACAAACAAGGCCCTTTGGATACATGTACTGATGAATTTTTCAGGGGCAAGTTAAGGAAAAAAAGCATTTAACAGGTTTTGGAGCCTAAGATTTGGGTTGTAATTCCAGTGCCATGGCTACAAGTTTTGAGACACCAAAGTAAGTAAATTACTAACTTAATTTTCAATCTTGTCTTTTTGAGCAATGGGGATCACATCACTTCACAGAATCAAATGAGAGAATCTACCGGTGAGATGATTGTCCCTCAGCCTCCATTACCCAATGAGTGTCATCAACAAAAGGTGTACAGTGTGTGCGGCAGTCTTAAGGAAAACTGAAGTAAAGGCAATCCAAGAGGTAGCCAAGAGGTAGACTCGGAGCTAGCTGTCCTAGGTCACTCTTGGAGACTAGGGTCCCCATCCACTAAGGACATCTGGAGTCCTTATGTCCTTCAGACTCCGAGGACTTGACGGGAAGGACCCTGAAATTCTTAGAACCGGTTGCCATGGGGACAGTCTCTAAGCAGCGTGGGCTGAGCTCTCGGTAGGGATTGAGGGTGGGCCGCCGCTGGACCCCGCGCGCGTGCCCGCCACCAACTTTCCCTCCAGACCCGTGAGGGGCGGCGCGCTCCGCCCCACCCCCGGGGCCGCGCACGTCCTCCCTCGGTGGCGCGCACGCCTGCGGGAGCCCTCTCCAGGCAACCTAGTGCTGATCGCTCGTGCCGGTGCGGCGGTTAGCCATCCGAGCGGGAGCTCGAGGCTCACACGCAGCCCCCTCCCCTGGCTGGGCTTTCTCCCACCTCCTTTCCTCCTCCCACCCCGGTCGACCCCTGGGCATGAGCAGTGATGGCCGGCTGCATCCCTGAGGAGAAAACTTACCGGCGCTTCCTAGAGCTATTCTTGGGCGAGTTTCGTGGACCGTGCGGCGGCGGCGAGCCGGAGCCAGAACCCGAACCCGAGTCCGAACCCGAACCCGAACTGGGAGCCGCTGAGGCGGCCGACGCTTCGGTCGAGGAACCGGGGGAGGAGGGGGCGACGATAGCGGCGACGGAAGAGGGAGAGCAAGACCCAGACCCGGAGCCCGAAGAGGAGGCGGTGGAGGAGGAGGAGGCGGCGGCGGCGGCAGCGGCGGCTGAGGGCGAGGAGGAGGAGGAGGAGGAGGAAGAGGAGGCGGCGGCGGCAGAGGCGGCGGCCGCCGTTCCCGGGCACTCGGCCGGGCCGCCGCCGCCGCAGCCCCAGCTGCCGCCGCTTCCCCCGCTCCCGCGGCCGCTGTCGGAGCGCATCACCCGCGAGGAGGTGGAGGGCGAGAGCCTGGACCTGTGCCTGCAGCAGCTCTACAAATAGTTAAGTAGCGGGGCCCGGCCAGGGGTGGGCCCGCGGTCCTGGTGGCGCCGGCCTCGGACGAAGCTCCCCGCCACCCGCCCCCTCCCCCCCCACCGCCGCCCTTCAAAGACAAAATCCCCCCGACTGTGATCTTTTTCACGCTTCTCACTCCCGCACCTAGTGCTGCGGAAAGCGCCCCCGCTGCTCGGACTCGGGCGGGGGGCTTGTGCGCTGCCCACGGCCGCCCTGCGTCCCTGCGCCGGCCTCCCACCCGGCCCTCCCGCCCGCCTCCGACCCCTCCTTCCCTTTCCCCCTTCTTGCACATCGGCCGCCGGCTTCTTGCTTCACTTCACACACACCCTGCCTCGGAAAGGAAGGTCTTTCCTCCCAGTCTTGAGCTTCTCCCCCCCCCCCCCCCGCCCCCCTCCTCCTTTGCAACACCTTTCTTTCCGGAGGTTTTTCCTCCCACCCCCTGTCTGGCTTTCCCGGGCTGGCTCCCCGGTTGTTTAGCGGCACAGACCGCCGCGACTTCTTTCTAGACTGAGCTGTGAGGTGCCTCCTGCGTAACCGCAGCAATGCCAATACCGGACCCGCAGATCCGGATGAGCAGAGAGACTGGAGTATAGATGTTTTCCATCAAGGCGCTAGGGTTGAAAGTGGAGAGCTCTGTAGATAGATGGTTTAAGACACCACGGGTAGCCTTAGTGTCTTCAGAGGCATTTGGCTGCTCCTAATGGAGGGAGGTGGGAAGGAGAAGTCACATTTTGGCCAAGTGAGCCTTCAGGTGAAAAGCAGGATCATAATTGGTTAAAGTGGAAAAGTCTGGCTGGCTTGATAAAATTGCAATTAGGTGCAGTATTTTCAGTCCATTAAGCAGATGGGGTAGGAAGTGGAGGGAAAGCAGATGGCTTGCTACCCAGATGTAAGTCTAAAATAGAAAGGTCAAGGCTTTGCCTTTCATCCCAATACTGGTTTTTGTGGGCTTGAAATAGAAACTGTTTACAATTGCGTTTCTTTCTAATTGGAATTGTCCTGAAATAATGACAAAAGGGGAATACTAAGAAGTCTCTGAAAACGTTGGTAAACCTGAATCTTTTGCCATCCAGCTAATAATTGAAATGAAAGGTGTTATTCTGACCATTCAAGAAGTTTAATACTGCATGGTTCACTGCAGTTAAGTTCAAATTTACTTGGATTTTCTCAAAAGCTTAAGTGAAAGAAGGGCCTTGAAAATAAAGCTCTTTTTTTTTAACTCATCATCCAGCCCAGTAGACACCTGATCAAATCATTCTCTTGTTAAAGCAGCCATTTATCAAAAGGAAAAACCATTTAACAAATCTACTGTAAGTGAACTCTGCTGATGTCTCAAACTCTATAAGTTATCTAAAATTTAATTTTAAAATAATATTTGGTTACCAAGGGAATAATGATTTTTTTTTGGGGGGGGGGAGGAAACCAATAAAAAACATGGCGTGTAATAACCACCACCCAGGGATAAACAGCATTAACGGTTTAGAGTATTTCTTGTCTTTATAAACTATCAGAGAAAAGGAATATGAAATGTCATTTCTTGGGTAATATTTAAAGATACTTAAAGATTTTACTTAAAATGGAAATATTTATCAAAGTGAGGGAATTTGTCTTATCATTAGACTAGCATTGTTTTGACAATTTTTACCTCTGCAAATGCAGTTACAGAATTGAAGGAACATAGTTCAAACATTAGAGAATGTTAAAAGAATTTTAAAAGATCGCTAATTTAGTATAACCATGAACATCTTTAAATAAATAATTTTAAAAAATGAAACCTATATAAGATGATGGTATGGTATGTGTTTTTAATATGAGGGGGGAAATGATTAATTTTGAGAACAGAACTTTTGGTTTGAAATAAAGTTAGCAAAATTAAAAGTGAAAATATGTCAACCTTAAGAGATTTCATATAAAATCAGATTTTATAATGTGCTCTGTTCAGATGTTGTTAGCCTGTTTTTAATCAGGCTGGGTGTTTTTAAAATGGCTGGCTTGTTTATGTAAAGTATCTTTAAGGTATGTATGGGTTAAAAAAGTTTTAAAAACCCATAATGACACCTTTAGTTTTTATCTTATTTATAAAAAAAGAGCATATGACTTAGTCACAAGAATCAACACAGTAAAACTTGTTAGAGATAAAACATTTTTCTGTTCAAGCACTTAATTTTACAGATGAGAAAACTATACATCTGTTCAGATGCAATAAAGACAAATTATGCAGAAATGATTATAGTATATATATATTTGTCGGTCATGGGCTGAACTCTGGGCCTGGGAGCTGTCCCTCAGCTCTTCAGCACAAGGCTAGCACCCCACCACTTGAGCCACAGTACCACTTCCAGCTTTTTTTCTGCTTATGTGGTGCTGAGGAATCGAACCCAGGGCCTCATGTGTGCAAGACAAGCACTCTACCACAGAGCCAACTTCCCAGCCTGATTCTAGTATTTTTTAATATAGTCTCTGAACTTCAGAACTCTCCTTGATAGAGTTGATATGCTGTTTTTCCAGTTTTTGAGGAAGTGCTTAGAAATAATTGTGATTACTAGTATGTTGGGAATTACTTATTTGGCGGAAATAGAAATATTTTTTAAATGATTTTCTTGCCTGGGTGCTGGTGGCTCATGTCTATAATTCTAGCTACTGAAAAGATTGAGATCTGAGGATTGCAGTTCAAAGTCAGCCTGGGCAAGACAGTCCGTGAGACTCATACCTCCAATTAACCCCCAAAAGCCAGAGGTGGAGAAGCATCAGTCTTGAATAAAAAAGCTAAGGTACAGCATCCAGGCCCAGTTCCCTTGCCACTTCCACTCCCCCCACCCCCCCCCCCCACCCCCGCCCCCAAGAAAGCTGTTTCTTTTACTCATTATGTTTGAGAAATGCTGGTTCTAGGACTAGAACTCAGCACCAGGGTGCTAACCCTTGCTCAAGTTAAAAAAAAAAAAAAAGCTTTCTTTTCTTCTTTCTGTCCTCTTCTTCTTCTTCTTTTTTTTTCCTCTTCTTCATCTTCATCTTCGTCTTCTTCCTCCTCTTCTTCTTTGTCTTCTTCTTCTTCCTCCTCCTCCTCCTCTTCTTCCTCCTCTTCCTCCTTCTTCTTCCTTCTTCTCTCTACTCTCTTCTTTCTTTTGTTCCAAGTGATTAATTGGAGATATGAGTCTAATGGATTTTTCCTGTCCTAACTGGCTTAGAATCATGGTCCTCAGATCTCAGCCTCCTCAGTAGCTAGGATTCAGGCATGAGCCACCAGTGCCCAGTTAATTTGAGAATTCTTAAATCTTTGAAAACTGTCATGCCAGTCAAGTGATACTAAAATTCCTGAATGAACTTACATGAACTATATATTTATCAATTTGATAATTGGGACTAAAGAATATAACACCACATTTAATACTAGCTTCATAATGCATTTTTCTGTCAGTATTTAGAAATATGTATGACTATTAAACAGATTGAGAATCTCTGAAGAGAAATACAAGTGTTTCTTGATATTGTTTTAAAGTGTGCTCTTGTTGGGCTGGGAAGGTGGCTCAGTGGTAGAGTGCTTGCCTTGCATGCATGAGGCCCTGGGTTCAATTCCTCAGCACCACATAAGCAGAAAAAGCCAGAAGTGGTACTGTGGCTCAAGTGGTAGAGATGCTAGCCTTGAGCTGAAGAGCTGAGGGACAGCACCCAGGCCCAGAGTTCAGGTCCCACGACTGACAAAAAACGTTTACACTAGTTGAAATTACTTGTGAAGGCCCTGGGTTTGATTTTTTTCTTTAATTACTTTTAGGAAAAGTTAAAGAAAAGAAAGTGGCGTGCGCGCGTGCGTGTGTGCGTGTGTGTGTGTGTGTGCTGGAACTAATTGGAACTCAGGCCTGGGCACTGTTCTTTAGGTTTTTCACTCAAAGGTAGTGTTTTACCACTTGAGCCACAGCTCTACTTCTGGCTTTTTGTTGGCTAATTGGAGTCTCAGAGACTTTCCTGACTAGGCTGGCTTTATTTTATTTTTTAATTTTGTTTTTGGGTCCGGTAGTGGGGCCTGAACTCTGGGCCTGGGTGCTGTCCCTCAGCTATTCAGCTCAAGGCTAGCACTCTACCACTTGAGCCACAGCGCCACTTCTGGCTTTTTTCTTTTTGCTTATGTGGTGCTGAGGAATCAAACCCAGGGCCTCATGCATGCAAGGCAAGCACTCTACCACTGAGCCACCTTCCCAGCCCCGAGGCTGGTTTTAAACTATGATCCTCAGATCTCAGCCTTCCAAGTAGCTAGTATTATAGGCATGAGCCACCTTCGCCCAGACAGTGACATGTTTTCCTCACTATTTTGGTTCTTTCACATTTTGGAGTAGGAACTTCAGACACATGACATTCTTCATTTTGGCAAACTGAAAGTTCAGGACTAAAATTTTTTTTTTGGTCGGTCATGGGGCTTGAACTCTGGGCTTGGGCGCTGTCCCTGTGCTCTTCAGCTCAAGGCGAGCACTCTACCCCTTGAGCCACAGCGCCACTTCCATTGACTAAATTTTTTTAAAAAATCAATTATTTAGGGCTGAGAATGTGGCTTAGTGGGGCCCTGGGTTTGATTCCTCAGTACCATATACAGAAGTGGCACTGTGGCTTAAGTGGTAGAGCATTAACCGTGAGCAAAAAGAAGCTCAAGGACCATGTTTACTCAGGTCCTGAGTTCAAGCCCCAGGATTGGCAAAAAAAAAAAAAACTCTAGATAAGGCATCTAGGCTTAAATTAACAAAATATAAGTTGGCAATTTCAAAGCAGATTTCCAAAAATTAAGGTGGAATTTTTTGCCTTTCATCTTCAAAATGGAAAATTTATATTTTTACATATTCCTCAGATAGATAAAATGTAACATTCTGAAAGAAAAATAATTTAAAAATTGCCAGACTTGGTGGTGCAAGCCTGTAATCTCAGTACCCATGATACAGAGGCAGTAGGATCAAAGTTTGAGGTCAGCCATTAAAATACATAGTGAGACTGTATCTTAAAAATT